TCAGTGGTAATTTGTAACGGCTTCAAGTTAACTTTGATGATTGAAATTATCGTACCGCCTTTCCGGCCGAAGTTCATACGTCAAGGAAATTTCAATTCCAGGCACACAGTGTTACGCGGTACCTTCAAGTGTATTGAATGTTTGAGTACAATTGATTCAATCCGATACAAATTCTATGAAATCAATCGGATTACAAGATATACCCGTAATAAAAGAAAGGAATTCGAATGCATCGGTTGTTTGTTATTACGAGTCGAATCGTAAAAGCAGATCGAGAGATTTTTTATTGACCTCTATTAAGTTAGCAATCTTTGGTTATTTAAAATGTTTTACACGACACAAAAATCGGTCGGAAATCAAGTGGCTTACTGCAGGATTCGAGCCTGAAAATTATACCCTTATACTTGTATACTTTGAAAACTAATGAACTAAATTAAATTATTCTCAATTTACTTAACTACAAAACACTTGAAAACCCCCAATCATCACTCATCCGAGTTAACACGATTAAACACTTATTTTACACGTTTACGAGCGCCCATGGGCGGGTCTGAGCGACCCATGAATTTTAATTCAACCCCACACCGCGATTAGCTCGCTGGGTCAATAGGACCCCAAAACTTAACCCTTGATTTATTACCGTCTTGTAAGCAATAAAGGTAATTTACTACGGGAATCCAGACGTTAATGACGCCAATGAATGGTTAACTCCATTTATGGACAGTAAACAGATGTCAAATTGAAATGAATGATCTTTTCGTGACCAGTTTGCGATGGGATGCCGACAAAAGATCGACTTATGTAGATCTGGATATGAACTTTAAAACTACCACTATAAACTGCAAAAAACAGTCTTTATTGGGAAATTGTATAGAAAATTTACTGAACATTTTTAGTTTAATTAAATATCCTTAGAATATTTAGGATTCACCTGTATGCCAGCTCGATCCTCCGAGCGCCACAAGGGACTGGCATAACTACTAATTTCGATCGAACAATCTGTTCAAACATGCATGTCGGCTTTTTAATAGCTTCTGACATAATATTCCAACAGCACGCTATCGATTTAATCGTGAAAGATGCGTCTTGAACTTTCGCGGCACCTTCACTGCATTCATCCTTCCACCAAAGTGGGGTAGAGTTGTATATCTATTTGTTTGGTCATTCTTTCACCAGTCATTCTTTTGGCGCGTCAGAATCAACTGACCATGCTTCTATTTTATTACATTCTTTTTAAGTTGGCACGATTGGGTGTAATATTATAATAGAGATCTGTTTAGTATGCCAACGAAAGTGCATAAGGCCCACACTCCACCAAAGCGGAGACGAGACGAGTGCAGAGGAGATGTTTTTTAAACAACCAATAGAATTTCGTTATTCATACATCTCGTCTCCGCTAAGTTCCAGTGGAGATCGCTAAGCGGAGATGTTTTATATTTGTATGGTGCGATGAAAGCGGAGATGAGAGCTGTACCTTGACGAGACGCAGCGGAGACGAGAAGATGTGAGCGTACGTTTTTGTAAAAGCGACATTACGTCTACCTTTCGTTTCAGAACGCGTACTGAGCATTCAATGCCTTGCACAATCTCAACGCTAGCTAACGCACATCTCCGCGACACAATACGCATCTCCGCACAGCTTCGGTGGATTCACCCGAACAAAATAACATCTCTTCTCGTCTCCACATTGGACATCTCCGCACATCTCCGCTTTGGTGGAGTGTGGGCCTTAATCAACCATTTTTAGCCAGTTTTAGCTCACATTCTGCTTATAGCTTTAGTTTAGAATAGTTGGATTCCGAAGATTATACAAACAAAGTTAGACACTTTACCTTTTTATAATATAAGTAAGGTTATGGTAAGGCACTTAAATAGAAGCTTTCTGCAATTTCCGTCGTAACGTTGTGTACTGCTAGTTTTTACGTTCTGTTATGATGACGATAATAATAGTAGTTCAAAAAGAGTAATCCTTTTATTTCTGAATTTCGCTAAAGCGTAACTGTAGCTTTGCCGTTTCCTTCACAAAAGAGAGTTACTTAATATTACTCGAGGTAAGTGTCATCGACCGTTTTTCGCAGCTACTAGCTCAATTCGTCTCGCTAAAGATTGACACACTGGCGTAATGTCCAATTGTAATTGACTGTATTGCGACCGCTAAACAAGCGACAGCATAAGCTGAAGCGAAATAATCTAAAACATTCAAATTTAGCAGAATTCCAATTCCATATCTTGATACTAGCGTAGCTACATCACAACGCTGACATTTAACTGTCACATTATTTTTGTAAATAATTAATAATTCATGTTTACTATATTGATAACTGGTTTTCCGCCGGCTTTATCCGCGTGGCCCTGTGTTATACATGTAAACCTTCTTGAATCACGCATGTTGTTTGAAAGATCTCAACGTACAGAAAGACTTAACTTTATTCTATACTTTGTATAGAAAAAGTACACTCATTTAATACACAAGATTCATTGGTTCGGGTGGAGTTCGATGGTGCTGTATTTAGTAAATTCCGTCTGTGATGCGCACAATAGGCAACTTTCGCAAAGGTCGGTCATATGATGGGTAATTAAATTTTTTTTAATCTCAAGCTCTTCCGTGATACGGAAGGGTAGATTTACAATCGATAATATCCACCAATCCGCACTAAGCTTGGGTTGTAGTTAGTGGCCTATTTTCCTTTTTCGATTCCATGCATCTGGTCGGAAAAAGTGAAGGTCTGAGCCCCAGCAGTGGGGGATTATTACGGACAGGCAGGTCTTCTGTGGGTTATTAATTAAACGATAGTTGCTCGACTTCAATACTATTTTCTTGATTATGTGGCCTTTGAGATAAGTATTATTTATCACTTTTATAAAGTTTGAAGTCTGTTCTTTTTTTAAGTTTTTATTTCATACTTTTTAGTGGTATTGATATTTTTTTATATAAACGATAATAATAAAAATATTCAACATATTGAAACTCTTAGAATAGGAGATTTTGGTTATTTGCTCGACATTATTTTTTTCAATAATCTATACTCATATGCTTGTTTGTTTACATTTACAACTCCGAAACTATTGGACTAATATGCGAGGGACAGGCTATAATTTACGCAACTGAAATCGCGGGAAAATAGCTATCTAGTTTGATTGAAATTGGTACACAATTCAAGTAGAAATCGATGAACATATCTACTTTCATTAAAAATATACATACTCTTAGAACACAGAAAATCCTCCTTAAGGATTTTGAATGAATTAAAAATACGCAATCTTTGTTTGGTTTTTAGCTGAAATGTGCCGTTTAGGTGATATCTGGTGAAAAGCGCATTTTGTTTTGTTATAAAAAAAAGAATTTCGAAATTCAGTCAAGTATTAGCGGAAAATATGGGTTGTTCCGTATTCATCCTATGACGTCTCATCCTATGCATTATTTTTTCCTTACTCATCCTATTTTTGTTCTTCACTCAACCCACAACATTTTATTTTAATTAATTTTAATTTTGAATTCCTTACTCATCCTATCGATGTTCTTAGGTCATCCCAGTTTTAAATCACGCAAAAAATGTAAGAATTTTGTGAACGGTCTGAACAAAAATATTATCTTTTGATATAATCTGAGTTAATTGTTGCTCTATATAAAATAAAACAGCAGGAATTCTGAAAGATATAATAAGAGATAATATCTTGAAATATCGGATAAAATAAATAAAAAAGACGCCCTCGAATATATTATCAATTTTGAAGTTGCTTAAAATATTACTTTGTTTCTAAGCCCAAGTGTTATGTCTATGACAAATTGTAGTGATGCCAGTTACGCTACCGCAGTGGAGGCACGTGCGCGTTTTTGCTTCACCACTAGAAAGTTTGAAACGTGACATTTTTTCTTATTTTTTTATTTATGCTATTTTTGTAGTTTCTTCCGCTCCGGAAAGAAAACAAAAAATCTACGATATTTATTAAACAAAGTTTTCCTGGAATCTCTAGCACAAGATGTTATTCTCAGTACTGGTACTTAAGTGAATTTCTATGTAAGACCGAGCAATATACAAAATTCACCATCAATGGGTTATGTTATAGTTTTATTATTTTTATTTACAGTTTATATGGAAGTTATTTATGTGTAGGTCTATAAAAGCCGAAACATGAAGAAAATACAAGTTAGGGAAACAACAGATAGTTCTAGAATCGAATAAAATATGTTCTGAAATATGCGCATCAAACCTTTTCAAATGACACCCCCCATAAAACCAATTTGAGCTATTTTTTATGATTTGACAACATATATAAAATTTTCTATTTTTTTTTTCCTTAAACTTTTACTATATACAATAATGTTGCTTGGTATATTTCAGTTCTAAGTCAACGGAAAGTAGCTACTCTATTAATTTTGATTCCTATGAAGTACCCTGCGATCTACAGTAGGATACTTCACACTAGGGTACTTCATAGTACCCTAGTGTGATATCCTACTGTAGATCGCAGTGTATGTTTTTAATATAAACTCTTAGATATCTCTACGCGATCCCAAAAAAAGATCTCGACAAACAGACGGATAACAATGTGACCCTATTAGGGTTCCCTTTTTTGAGATACGGAATTCTAAAAAAGAATAGTTATCTCGAGAAGAAATTCAGTTGGATACATTCAGTTACACAAACGTTCATTAAAATTGTCATTAGTTTAAAGCTACATAATATTCACTATATTTTTTAATTTAATTTAAGATGAATTGTAAACTTGTTTTGTCTTGTTTTCCGATATTGCATTACCTGTTACGCTTCACTGCTACAAAAGCTGCACTATAGAAATTGCTTAGTTACTTGAAACTGGGAAGTAATCGAATACTAGTGGTACAGGTGAAAACTTGTTTATTATTGAAATAAATCAAAACATGCACACTTCCTTTTTTTGAAAATTTGAAATTCTTTGTAAGCTACATAGAGCTATAAAAGTTTACTTTGCTTGGATATTTCTCCCTATACAATTAAATATGTTTTTCATTGTTACAGATTCATTTGTAAATAGCCAAGAATGGACTGCATCAAGAGGGGTGACAGAGTTGAGGGTTGGGGTATTAGGCTCTCCCGACAGCGGAAAATCTGCACTAGTTCATCGTTATCTTACAGGCGCGTATATGCAAGAAGAAAGTCCAGAAGGTATGTTATCATGAAATAAATACTAATGAATGAGCTAATGCTAGCGCGTTAGAATTTGCCACTAGAGGCGCTAGTGTACAGCTTCGACACAGTTCATGTGTGTATAATTTTTGTAAATGTTCGTCGTGGTAAACAAATTGCTAGGACCTTTCGCGACTGTCGCGCCTTTGTTACATGTACTACGAAGAAAATTTGTTAGTAGCGCCATCTAGTTTCACTTCTCATAAACGTCAAACACTGACGGTGTCAGTGTGCTTTCGTTATACTGTACCTCATTAGTTCATGTTGCCACCGTTAGAGGGCAGGGTTTACGTATCCACATCTAGTTTTGGTTATAAAATGTAGATGGCATGACAGTAGAGACTACATGATACAAAAGTACTGACTTTCCAACAATAACATAGAAGCTTCTGTACCATGTGATAACATGGTGATAAAAATCCCCATAGATTATTAGATGAGTTCAACCTATAAGAATACAACTCGTAACAATTTAATAATCCCTTTAATAAATAACAGTATATATTAAAGAATACGTGATTTCGTTTTTATGTATTGTATATAACAAAGAAAATATTTATACTTTTATTAATTTTGACATTGGTGTACCTATTCAAATATAATTAATTCATATAAGTTGTAATCATTGTCTAGTTTTTAAGTGTTTTCCATTCATAAAAAAATAAAGTCATCCGCGTAAAAGCACCATCTAGTGGCAATCATAAATAATGAAACCGTGACATTGCATCCTGATTTTTTATTCGTGTTAGTAACAGAGGCGTAGCTACCGCTGTATCAATGATACGGGTAGGGTTGCCAGATGGTCGGGATTCGTCTGGATTGTCCAGACATTTCGTATGATATCCAGAGCCCCGAAAAAAAACAAATATGTCCCGACAAAAATTGTTAAATTTCTATAAAATCAAATTGCAAGTTAATGTGACAATATAATAAGTAGATATATTAGCTGTTTATATGTTTTATTGTTATGTGATCTCATAATTTGCCAAAAATTAGATACTTGCTTTTATTTTAAAATTTAATTAATAAAGAGTGGATTTTTTGATTAGTAATTCTTTGTACCGACTGTGATCCCATAATCCCGACCTTTTCAAATTTTGTCTGGGCAAAATTTGAAAAGGTTTTAGTCTCCATCTGGCAACCCTAGATACGGGGCCTCCAGGCTACAGGGGTCTCTAAACGTATGTAAACAATTTTTTTTCTCTTCATTTGGGCCTCCAATTAATCTTTATATAGGGTTCCTCTAAGCCAGAGCCGGATCTGTGGGCATGACCACTTGTCGGTTTCATTTGAGCTAATTGCATACACGTATTGAATAACAATGCAGTATTAATACGAAATCGAACTGCTCCGATTTAGCCGAAAGGTAGCCTTTGAAATTAAACGAAACAATTCCATCGATTTGTGGTTCGATTTGTCTCGACAAGTTGAGATAATACCTGTCCAGGGTCTGATGATGGAAACTTTGTAATTAAAAAACGCGCCATTGAGGTTGTGCTTTTTTTGTATAAAAAACTTATAATTTAAAAGAAATTTTAATCTAATATTCAATGTAATGGTAAAGGGAACCTTTTCTTAAATTACCAGGTGGTCGCTTCAAGAAAGAGGTGATAATTGACGGACACAGCTACCTACTTCTCATCAGAGATGAGGGAGGACCGCCAGAAATGCAGGTCAGTACCTAGTAATACTCATGGCGTTGTTCCTTATATCCTGTCCTCTGAAATGCAATGTCTGTTTAGGCCAAGATGACCTCAACAGCACAACAGCATAAATAGCTGTCTATCTGTAATTAGGTTTTTACAGATTGAAATTTTAAGGAACACTTTATTTAAAAAAATCTCTATGCTGTGGCAGCGCTATGCTCAATCTCGAGTTTAACGCCGAATTTCTTACAGAATGGTACTGCCAGTGAACTTACCTAAACACTCATAGAAATATGCTAGTAGCAAAATCCATTAGATAAACATGACCTGTGTAGTAATTTGACGTGTTGTCGACTGTACAACCAATGAACCATTGTGTGGCAATGGCATAATTATCATGAGATCGAATCGTCATTCACATTCGTGTTGATATTATTCAATACATGCTTTTTAATTTCACGTTTCTGTGAAAGTATCGAAAATTTATCTTGGAAATAAATAATATTATAACAAACAATAAGATAGTATGTCTTACATTTTCTTATATAAGCGTATAAGATAATTAAATAGTTTATTAGCACTATGATCACTTGAAGTAGAAACATTAATAAGGTGAAAGCAACCGGTTTTTAATAATAATTATTTCAAGAAGACAAGTATTTCTTGGGCGGCAGTCTCTTACAGGCGACCTTTGGCATAAGACCCACTAGACAGTTATCTTAAAATGAAAGAAGACAAAAGAGTTTTTTTTTTTCTATTTTATGTTAGTTCAGTCTGTGTAGCACGAACTTCGGAGATTCGAGAAACACTCGAGGAACTTGAAAAACAGATCGATAGTGAGCTATGACTATATAATATTTCACTCTTCTCACTCTGTTATTTATTATAAATAATCACTATTAGAGAAATTAATAAAATATAACAGTTCCATAAAATTTGCACGTAATGTTATCCTCTGTAGGGTAGTAATTGAGCCCAGTATCCTAAAGTGGCTTTGGGCCCAGAGTCTCCAACATAAAACGCGATCTAATAGCACTTTGAGCAAGGCAATTTCAACAAAAACAGTAGTATTACTTATAATAACACCAATGACGAACGACTACTTCCTTTTAAATCGATAACTTTGAAACATTCATTGTTCCAATCGTAAGAGTCGCGTGTGAAGAGACAATCAGGGATGTTTTTGTATTATTTTTTAACTTTATCGGCCGCATCAGTATGGTAAGTCATGTATTTGGGAACATACTGACCTATTATTAGTAAAATGTGCGTTTCCACTGTTACGATTAAGGTATATTATGATTTCGTGCTTTGTGATCCTTGAACGACTTGACTTGTATTTAGTAAAATACACGCTCTGCGACCAAGAAAGGATGGAAAAATGGAGTGTTTTTCTGAGAGTGCCACGTATTCATAATTTCATTATTGTGATATTGGATTGCTTAGTTATGCAGTTTGTACTCTCGTCGTACTCTTATTACAGGACATTTTTACGGATGCAATAAACTATCGAAATCCCATTCATTTTATTTTGGCAATTCTCTGCGCTTCTCGTGAGACAGTGGACACTCCACCGATCTATCGATTCTCGCCATAAAAGGCATCGAACGTTTTAATAGTCCAATGTTATTTACGCCGGCGACCGTACCGACCCCGCTCGGTTTTGCTACGCCGTATTTACGGGCCGCTTAACCGTTTTACGATATTTACCGATCATGACATTTTATGGTCATGTTACGAAAGGGTTTTTTAAACAACTCTACAACCGCAACGTTTGTTTGTAGTTCAACACATATAGAATGTTATACATACTAAATTGTAAATACTTCTTCACCTACATTTTAATTTGATATATTTTTGAATTTTCAATGAATTAGTAAAGCCATAGCTTAAAAGTTGAAGAGAGGCTTAAAAATACAAATGTTTTTGCAATATAGGAGGCTTAGGAAGTTTAATTATTGACATTGAGTCTACGTTTAAATAAAATATGTCAAGCTGAAAGCCGAAAATCTCGCACGCGGGTTTTGTAACTTAAAAGGAAGGTTATTCCATGAATTCTCTGGGGCCGGGAGAGGCAGACTGGAACGACTCAACGCTCGTCTTTGTCAGTAAGTAGTTTCGCTAGGAATGTGTATTATATTCGACATATTGCTTAAACACAAGAAAAAAATATTGCACTTATATCTGAAAGAAATAACCGTAACCATTATGGTTTATTAAAAAAGGAAATTTACTATAATGTAGTACATATCGCCACTGATATACTACATACCTAATAGGTACTGCCTAGTAGTAGCGATGCCTGCAGCAACATACGACTGTAAAGTAGGTATATCATTAGAAACTATTGTTTTCCCCTCGGGTTGCCAAAAACGATAACTTTTTCTTAGGTGGTCACTACTTTATTTCATTATAATGTCTGCCTATATGCTTACCTACGGCACGAAAGTTATGTCATTGACTTAGTAGCAAAATAATAAGCGCTTCTTTATTTTCTTATTTAAATTTTTCATTAAAATATACACAGTTCACTTCATTCCGTGAAATTAACGATCATACTGGTTCAAGAACACTCAACTCCAACTGCTCGCTGCGCTCGTTCAGACCATCGATTTAATTAATGTGCCGAAGCATCAGTATTGTAGTCTCAAAAGCTGTCGATAGCTCGATCTATGTTTTAAATTACGGAATCCAGACTAGTGTTGTAAACGGCTTCGGGTATTGGAAGCCCTCAGATAGCTGCAACCGAAATATTTCGATGCGAAATCCTGAGTATGGCAGGCGTATATTCGCGACTCTTGATGGCTTATATTGTTACATTTTATGGTATACTAAGTGACCCGGCTACTTCGTACCGCCTTATACCCGTTTTAAAAGAAAATCTTATGCACAAACCATGTCATGAATCGTATAACACATAAAAAAATAGATTCATTCAATTTGGCGCAGTCGGAACTTGAATTCGGAAGTTATGCGGCGATTCGTTTTTATTCATCGATATTTAATAGCTCGCCCGGACATTTTTTATTTTCCGATATTAATTTTTTTGATATAGTGTAAACAAATTTGATATACATTACATGCATAACGCGTCTAAATTATTTATTTGAATAAGGATCAATACTGTATTTTAAAAATAGTTTGTAAATAACCCATCATTTTACTGTTTTAAGTATACGCAAAAAATGGTTACTGTGGGTTATCCTTGGTATATAGACATATACCACCGCAAACTTTTTTGTGGATCCATTAAAGAGGTACAATTGCACCCTACAATGTTTTGTTATAACTCAAAAGTTTTTGGCAGCGTTTTCGAGGAAAGCTTCCGGTCGGCTTTATTTTTTCTGACATATTGAACTAATATCGTTGTAATATCGTCAGTTTATACAAAACCTAAATTAACTATACGCTAAAACCTTCCTCAGGATTTGCTCTATCTATTGCTGAAAACCGCATGAAAATCTGTCCATTACTTTTCGAGTTTATCGCGAACAGACATACAGACAGAAAATTATACAAAGACACCGCGATTCAGACAGCTACATCGCCATATATCGAAAATAAGAGTAAGCAATGTGGTTTAGCTGCGAGTTTTTTAGTATGTTTATTACCATTACGAAACATTATAAACACCGAAGTAATTTTGGTCCTGTAGATCACGTTAAAGATTAAAAGTTTCCTGAATTTAGAGGTAAATTTTTTAACAGTTAACAAAACTAAACGAATGTTTTAGCGGCTTTTAAATCAGCCATCTAGTTAAACGGTCTAAATGCCATAATAATTCACTAGAAAACTAGGCGTGCAATAGAATGGCGCCATTCTATTAAACGCCTAGCCGCTCAATTGAACTGCTATTTTATGCGACATGCCTGCAAAATATAATTTTAACGTCATTTGTAAACATATATTTTAACTTGTAGTTAATATTATATTACATGCACATAAGTCATATTTTCTCGTTATTATCACATAAACTTCATTTCGTAATAAGTATAATTGCTTGTTTATTTAAAAATAGCAATATTAGTTTCAAATTGTGACTTGTTTTACTAGCGATAAATTTAATTAAATTACGTCACTAAAATAACAAAAAGCACGGCAAAGTTAACTCTCCCAAAGGCAGCAATTCTCTTGCAGAAACTAATTTTTTAGGTATAGACGTGTAAAACTGCGGTTTTAATTGTGAAAATAACTATAATAACATAACTGAACCAGGAGTGTAACTATATTTATTTGATTACATATGATTATAGAACAATGTAATTAATAAATTAAATTCTCTTAAAATAATGTTAATAAATTATTATAAGAAACCTAGCATTATAAAATGAAAACAAATCCAAATTAAAGAGTTTGCTTTAGATATTGGTGCAACAGAACCCAATAAAAAATTATCAGAGCATAAGGAATGTGTCATACTTTTGAAATTCAAATAAACCTTTTATATTAACGTCTGCAAATGACACCCCATCATACATATATTTAGCAGCCGTTCGATTCACAGAATCACCAAGAAAACCTTTTCCTAAAATATCTCGGAGAATGTCATGTCAATGAAAAGGCCTAGCCCGTTTGTTCCCTCGTGATATTACGTTAGATTACACCCGTGACGTCACCACATTAGCCTGGATTGGCCCGCGACCCGCAAAATGATTGTCCCGGTATAAAGTGCTCTAAATATAGTCAACGAACGGCGGCGGCCCTAATAGGTGGGTATATAAATTGTGGAAACAAAGGACGATTTGAAAATTTGAAAATATATCTACTATATTTTTAAGCATTAAGATTACAGTGCATGTTTAGTAAAGACCAGTGAGGAAGTATTTAAAAAAAAAAGAATTAGTTCCCAAAATCAAACTAGATGTCGCCACGGGACTTTCTTGATTTCTTCATGACAACCTTTACGGTTTTCTTTCAAGTATAAAATTAAATGAATTTTCAAAACTCAATAAACAACTCATATTCCATTTGTACTTTTTCGTATTTGTATTGATATCTAAGTTTTGAACTTTGCAAATTTCAGTTTT